AGGCCTCCTCGCCCCCGGCCCCCCCCCCACTCTCCCTCGTGGGCGATGCTCCCTCTAAGCTGCGGGGTCTTGTGAGCAAATATCCCACTTCGTGAGCTCCTGGCATTAAAGTTGTGATCAGTGTTCCCTCTAAGCCGAGTTAGTGTGAGCTAGCTCACAGGTTTTTAGCCTCCGGCTCACACATTTTTGCCTTAGCTCAGGAAGGAGGGCTCCAGAGCAAACTAATTTATGCAGCAGCCAAATCTCCTGCTCACAACGTTAATGCCAGTAGCTCACAGAGTAGAATTTTTGCTCACAGAGCTCCATAGCTTAGAGGGAACATTGGTTGTGATCGAGCGATTTGGCTGCTGCGTCAATTAGTTGGCTCTGGAGCCCCATCCTTCCTGAGCTAAGACAAAAAATGTGTGAGCCGGAGGCTAAAAAAACTGCCAGCTGGCTCACACCAACTCAGCTTAGAGGGAACACTGCTTGTGGGTCACCATCCTGGAGTCCCAATGTTCCCTCTGAGCTGTGGAGTCTTGTGAGCAAAAATTCTACTTTGTGAGCTCCGGGCATTAAAGTTGTGAGCGAGCGATTTGGCTGCTGTGTAAAATAGTTTGCTCTGGAGCCCTCCCTTCCTGAGCTCAGACAAGAAATGTGTGAGCCGGAGGCTAAGAAACTGCCAGCTGGCTCACCCCAACTCAGCTTAGAGGGAACACTGGTCACCTCCGATGTTCTCTCTACGCTGTGGAGTCTTGTGAGCAAAAATTCTGCTTTGTGAGCTACCGGCATTAAAGTTGTGAGTGAGCGATTTGGCTCCTGCATCAATTAGTTTGGCTCTGGAGCCCTCCTTCCTGAGCTCGAACAAAAAATGTGTGAGCCGGAGGCTAAAAAAACTGCCAGCTGGCTCACACTAACTCAGCTTAGAGGGAACACTGGACTCTGAGAAGAATCCTCTGGGGAGGGGGTGGTTAAGGTACACTCCACACACACAAGAAAAGTTCCTGCTTAAGCCTACTCATAGTGTTTTCCACGCACCAACTGACATTATCATGCCTGACAGCAGCCCTGGAAGGTAGGCCAGTCGTGTATGTCTCGTCTGTGTTAGTTACTTTGCTTATGGGAGCGTTGTGTGTGCTGCTTTTGATGTTGATGTCTCTGGTTGCAAAAACAGTAAAGGCAACAACGACATATGTGCTGCTTCCCTTTCCGCAAAGGGCCCAGAGTGCCTCATGGAGGGTTGCGAGGTGTGTAACCTTTTAAAGAAATGCAACAAACAATGACAACACAAATATCTGAATCTATTAATATATCTAAATCTATCTGTGGACTCAGGTGGCTCACTGTGTTGGTCTGAAGCAATAGAGTAAAATTTGAGTCCAGGGGCACCTTGAAGACCAACAGAGTTATAAGTCTGGGTATAAGCCTTTGTGTGCACACACACTCAGTGTGCGTGCACATGAAAGCTTATACCGTGAATAAAACTTTGTTGGTCTTCAAGGTGCCCTGGACTCAAACTTTCTTCAAATGTGGATACAGGTGGGGTAGACATGTTACGTTTGAGCCCGGTGGCACTTTTAAGACCAACAAAGTTTTATTCACGGTATAAGCTTTCATGTGCAAAATATTTTAAGCAAGCACTTAAGTATCTGATGAAGTGTGCATGCACATGAAAGCTTGTACCGTGACTTAGACTTTGTTGGTCTTAAAGGTGCCGCTGGACTCAGACTTTGTTCAAATATATATGGGTTGACGAAGGGGTATCTGATGAAGTGAGTGTTAACTCACAAATGTTTAGACCCTGGAAAATTCTGTAAGTGATACCGGATTCGAATTTTATTAAGAACATAAGAGAAGCCAATGTTGGATCAGGCCAATGGCCCATCCATTCCAACACTCTGTCACACAGTGGCCAAAAATACCAGGTGATACCAAGAGGTCCAGCAGTGGGGCCAGGACACTAGGAGCCCTCCCACTATTGACCCCCCCCAGCACCACAAATACAGAGCATCACTTGCCCCAGAGTCCCTATCTATACCTTGTGGTTAATAGCCACCGATGGACTTCTGCTCCATATGCTTATCTAATCCCCTCTTGGAGCTGTCCATGCTTGTAGCCGCCACCACCTCCTGTGGCAGTGAATTCCACGTGTTAATCACTCTTTGGGTGAGGAAGTACTTCCTTTTATCCGTTCTAACCCGACCGCTCTGCAGTTTCATGGAGTGCCCACGAGATCTTGTCTTGTGAGAAAGGGAGTTCTGCTGCTACAGGAGGCCTCAGCTTTGGGGTGGCTTATGTGGCTTCTCTCTCTCCCCTTCTCCATTTTGTTCTCACGACAAGCCTGTGAGGCTGACTGTGACAGGCCCAAGGGCACCCATTGAGCCTTTTGGTACAGTGGAAAGTTGCATGCACAACTCCATGGCTATGGTACCGATGTTGTGACCAGCCATCCAGCTACACTGGTGCTTTACTGTTCCTCTTTATATCATGTTGTTAATTCTGCCAGCAATTGTATCCGAGCTGTAAGTGGCCTTGGATTCACAGGCAGAAGAATAGCCTGTAAATGCAATAAATAAATTGGATCCTTATGTTGCAGATAGGAATTGGGTTTCTGTGGTTTTGGTACCACTGTTCTAACCGGCAAAACATGCCGGGCTCTATTACTGCCCGTTTCCCTCTTAATTTTATGCTTCAGGCACTTGTTTTGGATTATAGACTGCCCAGAATATAATGGCAGAAGGATAGCGTATAAGTAGAGTAAATAAATACAGTCTCTGTCTGGTCAATGGGCAGAGTGGCTCGCATTGAGGCTTGAACAGGGGACCTCACAGATCTCAGCTCTGGCTCTTTTGCGTCTGTTTGCTTGCTTATTTGTTTATTCATACACCCACTCTTCTCCCAAGCATCCCAGGACCCTTAGCAGCTGTGTGATACCAGCACCAACTTATTTATTTATAGTCTGCCTTTGTAAACAGTGTCCTGCCTTAACAGGGTTATGCAAATCCTTCCTCCCATACTGCAAGGTATTGGTGCTGACACTTGAAGGCTGTTAGCCTACCTCTGAATAATGAAGATCGTTCAGTCTGGAACTTGAGCTCATGCAAGTGAACTACTTAGAAGTCGCTATGCAAACTGATGTAAACAAGAGAAAAGTTTTCATTGATTTGCCTTTTGAGTAAAGCTCTCTACCCATTCCCATTCGCATTTGCCATTTTCAAATATGGAAGGTTACAATTACGATGGATAAATGTACAGTTTAAGAACAATTGCTAACCACTGTGGTGTTGTAATTACAGGGTTGGACTAGGATCTAGGTGACCCAGATTCAAATCTGCACGTAGCCATAGAAGTTCACTAGATGACTCTCTCACCTTAACCTGTCTCACAGGGTGGCGGTTCTGAGAATAAAATGGTGGAGGGGAAAAAGATTTTGTAAGCTGCTTTGGGTCCCAGTTGGGAAGCGAAGCAGGGTATAAGTAGAGATGTAAAATTTCCGGAAATTTTGAAGCTCAGGAAAAAAATTGGGTTTTTTTCCGTTTTTTTCCGAGGGGGAATGGAAATTTTTGGAAAAATTGAAAAAATGCTACATTAGCACTTCTTTTTTCTTTTCCAGATTGAAAGTCATTCTGTTACTTTAGGAACATAAAATATGACTATGGACATCTTTACTTGGCATGAAATTATCACAACTAGCATATTAAAAATATAGTGTATCCAAACAATTGTTACGAACAGAATACCCACCCACATGCAAAAACAAAACTGAAACCTTTTTCTTTTCTTGTGACAATAGCACCTCCTAAAGGAAGAAATGCATCTTGTTCTTGCATTGGAGAGTTCAGTTTGTAACCTAGGACTTGCTTGTCCTCAGTGCACAGAAATTAGATCAATCTGATATGTTTTTAGAAATGATTTGGAAACTATTTGAACACCTTGTCCTAAAATATTTTATTCATCATGTTAAAATAAAATGTTCCATAATCAATTTTTTTTTCTTTTCTTTTTTCAATTTTTCCAATTTTTTGGAAAAAACAAAAAAAGGCTTCAGGGTTTTTTCCGGGCCTTCACATCTCTAGGTATAAGTCAAGCTTTTGCTGATTATTAAAGCGATGTCATCTTCGCTTTCCAGAACAAATCCTTGTGCTTTTAATTCTCAGTTTGCTGATTCGAGTGTGCTGTCACTTGTTAATCAACTAAACATCTTGTTGCGTAATCTGCAGATTGCAAAGATTAAAAATTGCGGACTTTGGTGTTTTCACTGTTGTCTTTGTTTTGCTTCCTCTTCTCTTCTTCCCCTTTCCACTATTACCTGATTCAAGCTTCTATCCTCCGTGCTTCTACAAAAGAATCTGTAAATGTGTTTCCTGGGGTGGTGGTGGGGACTTTGTAATATAGGCCAGGGGTTGCATTCACTTCAGTAGAGCAACGTTTCCAGGCCAGAGCCTTGGGCCTTCAGAGGGTATTGCGTAAGCTCTCTGAACGGCGTCTGGGGGTCGTGTCCTCACGATGGGAGGAGGCAGCTTCTGCCTGTTATTCCTGGAGGTCATACTGACCTGTGGAAGTTGACCTGTCGTGACACACAACATCTCAAAGACAGGCTTTTAAAAGATAAAGAGCAAAAACCTTTGAATAAAGATTCTGCTGGCAAGAAGTCTTTGATCAGCCCAAGCTGACCACAAATGTGTAACGCTTCACTCATCCAGTTTCAAATGGTGATACACCATGCTCTCATTTAGCCATATTCTGCCTTCAGAAAGTATCTTCTAAAGTGATAACTTGTGTGGGAATTGAGGGGCTGTATAGGTTTATACAGACGTGATTGTAAGGGTTTCAGCTGTGGGTCTCCCTACCTGAATTCAACAAGAGGACTCCGTCCTTACTTAGAAGAATTCTCACTCCTGCTTCATTATTCCAATTTCTACCACTGGCACAGTAATCCACCTTTTAAAAACATCAGAAGAGCCCTGCTGGGTCAGACCGGTGGTCCATCTAGCCCAGCATCCTCTCTCACACAGTGGCCAACCAGTTCCTCTGGATGGCCAACAACAGGACTTAGAGAGGCTGAGGCCTTCCCCTGATAAGAACATTAGAAGAGCCCTGCTGGATCAGACCAGGGGTCCATCCAGTCCAGCATCCTGTCTCACACAGTGGCCAACCCATTCCTTTGGAGGGCCAGCAACAGGGCATAGAGGCCAAGGCCTTCCCCTGAGAAGAAGAGCCCTGCTGGATCAGACCAGGGGTCCATCCAGTCCAGCATCCTGTCTCACACAGTGGCCAAGCAGTTCCTCTGGAAGTTCAATAGCAGGATATAGAGGCCGAGACCTTCCCCTGATGTTGACTCCCGGCACTGGGATTCACAGGTTTATTGGCTCTGATATGGAGGTTCCCTTGAGTCACCATGGGTAATAGCCACTGATAGACCTGTCTAACCCCCTTTATAAGCCGTCTGTCCCTGTGGCCATCACCACATCCTCTGGCAGCAAATTCCACATTTTAATCACTCACTTTGTAAACTTCTATTTCCTTTTGTCTGCCCTGAATCGACTGCCCACCAGCTTCATTCTAGCATTTGGGGAGTGGGAGAAAAATTTCTCTTGGTCAACTCTCTCCACCCCAGGCATAATTTTATAAACCTCTGTCATGTCGTCCCCCCAGTTGCTTCACAAGGTGCATTTGAGCAAGCAGCTGGACTGCAAAAGAAAGCCGTCGTGGAATATTGCCCTGCTTAACAATCCTGGCTTTGCCCCTATACCTGAGCTAAGAGTGAATGGTCCTCTCGTCCCCCTTCCAGCTTTATATACTAGGCTTCTTCTGTGGCACCTGCTTCCTGCGTGTTCCACTGGAAAAAATAACCAGTGCTCTTCTAGATCTGATGTTGCATTTTTTTTTATCCCGTAATTATTTACTGGAGTTCTTGTAATCCTTGCTCTTGCTAATAAAATTCAGCTAAAATATTAGTGGGTTGTAAGTTCTGCACAAAAGGTACTGCGCAAACTGTTCTGGTTAACACATAAGTAAGCTTTTACCAAAAGGATCTAGCCATTACCTTTTAATTCCGAGGCTACCCATCCCATCATACAAAGTTAAGAACACAAGAGAAGCCAATGTTGGATCAGGCCAATGGCCCATCGAGTCCAACACTCTGTCACACAGGGACCAAAAATACCAGGTGCCATCAGGAGGTCCAGCAGTGGGGCCAAGTTGTAGAAGATGAAAAGTTTTGATCAATGAGAAGTAAAAGCTTTTCAATGAAAAGTTAGAAAAAAAACCCTTTCTGAACAGTTTATCCAATGGCCTGCTTATCCATCATTACCTTGCGTTTGACAGCATCACTTCTTAAGCAGACCTGAAGCAGGCCAACTATCAAAATTGCTGAACGCTTTCAAATCCTAGGAAATATTTTCTGTTGGCAGAGTGCATCATATACATTGATAGTGTTTCAGAGGATATCTGTGATGATCTGCAGTAGAAGAGTTATATTCATGTCTGGTAGTACGTTAGAGACCAAGAAGATTTTCGGGATGTAAGCTTTTGAGACTCAGAGCTCTGATGGAGAGAGGTTTTGCTCTCAAAAGTTTATATCCTGAAAATTTCATTGGTCTCTTAAAGTGCAACTGGACTCAAATCTGACCTTGAGTGGTTTTTGAGTTATATTTGGACTCGAATACTTTGAATTCCCAGTATATTCCTTTGTTTGTTATCTTGCTGTAACCAAGCACGGATAAAATATGGAATACTCTTATCAGGGAAGAATCATAACTACTGATGCCAGATACTATTTTGGGAAGTCTTTTTCCTGGTGGAGTCAAGGTTTTGACTTGAGTATGTTGCATTTTCTCAGTGTCTTGTTCTGTGTTTTCTTTGGACCAGTCATCTGGAGTATCGTCAAGATAAAAAGTGAGAACTTCGCTTTGAAGTGATGTGCTCGTAGTTGTTGTGAATGGCTCAGCTGTGTGTCAAGAATAATTATTTTAAAGTTTTGAAATAATTATTACCGCAAATAGCGAAGTGATTCTGATAGGAGAAAAGGCATTCTGGTCCATCAGACTGATGTTTTTTAAACATTTTTTTCAGCAGCATTTAGCAGTTACCAGTAGTAATATTTGTACGTGTCTGCTTCCATATTGTGTAATCTTTATGAAGAAATTGTTTAGTGCACTAGAATAGTTCAGTGTGCTAAAGTGCGCAGTGCTCTGTTTAAATTTTTAGTTTTGTCATATACATCCCTTGTACACATTTTTTTGTGGAAAGGACTCTGCAACAAAGGACACAATCCCTCCCGGACTAATTCCTTCAAGTCATCAGTGCTTTTAAGAGAGCTCATTAGTGACTTGTGAATAAAGTGACGTTTTCCTCACACTCTCAGCCTGAACTTCATCCCAGTGAAATTGGAGTTCTCAGATTCAGAGAATTCATCTTTTTGTTCCAGAGTTTTATGGCCAGATCTGGTAATGGGCTCCTGGAACAGAAGGTCCTCTGTTCACATAGAGCTCCACTATCCTTAACTGGCATTATAGAAGAAGAGAAGAGATTGGATTTATACCCTGCCCTTCACTACCCGAAGGAGTCTCAGAGCGGCTTACAAACTCCTTTCCCTCCCCCTCCCCACAACAGACACCCTGTGAGGTCGATGGGGCTGAGAGAGCTCTGACAGAAACTGCTCTTTTTTCAAGAACAGCTGTGCCAGAACTATGGCTTGCCGAAGGTCATCCAGCAGGTGCAAGGGGAGGAGTGGGGAGTCAAACCCGGTTCTCCCAGACTAGAGTCCACGCACTTAACCACTGCACCAAACTGGTTCTTCACTTCAAACTGGCCAGATAATGAAACTGAAGCTCAAATACTTTGGCCACCCAATGAGAAGGGAGCACTCACTGGAGAAGAAGACCCTGATGCTGGGAAAGATTGAAGGTCAAAGAAGACGGGGACGGCAAAGGATGAGATGGTTAGACAGTGTCATCGATGCAACGAACATGAAATTGAGCCAACTTCAGAGGACGGCGGAAGACAGGAAGGCCTGGCAGGATCTGGTCCATGGGGTCGCGAAGAGTCGAACTGAACAACAACAAATAATCACTTCAGTGCATGTTCCTCAGTGCATATGGATTTGGAGATGAACTTCTTGGGCCTCTGGATCGGAGTCCCTCAGCGACATCAAGTCACTGCAATACTCTTGTATGGTCATGTTTTGGAACAGCGTGACAGTTTTGTTCCCCCTCCTGTATTTTAAGAAGTGGGGCCGTGGCTTGGTGGCAGAGCACCCGCTTGGCATGCAGAAGGTCCCCGGTTCAATCCCCGACATCTTCAGTTAGAAGGATCAGGTGGTGGGTGATGTGAGAGACCTCTCTGCCTGAGGACCTGCAGGGCCGTGTCCAGTTCAAGTAGGCAGTACAGACCTTCGATAGACAAAGGGTCTGCTTCAATGTAAGGCCGTTTCACGCATTCATGTGGCAAGCCTTGTAATATGTTTGAAAATCTGCTCAACGTCCAGCCAGTTCAGTTTATCCTTTGATCCTAAAAGCCATGATCATAATGCTGAGAGGAAGCTGCAGATTCCTAGACCTTTTTAACTGACTGCTGCCCAGGAAGCAAATGCCCCAAACAGGCAGAAGGTCTCAGCATTCGTGGAAATAAGGTTCACTAGACTAAGCCCGGGGAAAAAAGCCGCTTCTGGCTTGTGGTTAGACTGTTTATAATGCCGTTGTGATTTTATGGTGTGAGCCCAAACAATGAGTTTTTTTCTTCTTTCTAGGTATTACCTGTGGCCGTTCGCACCTTCCTGTTTTGGGATTAATTGGAACATTTGAAACTCGATCTCTAAGAAATATTCCATTTAGGACTTTTTCAGAAACCCCGGCGTACTTTGCTTCGAAAGACGGCGCAAGCAAAGATGGTTCTGGAGACAGCGGCAAGGTATGTAGATTTCCCTCTGAAAAGACAATTTCAGGTCCCTGAAACTTAAAAAAAAAAAAAGAAAGAAAGAATTTAGAATGGTTAGGACGCTTTTTTACTTTACGCTCTCTTCTTTTTGAATGAGTCTCTCCACAGCGGTGATTGTAGAGGTGTAGCTACGTTAGCCTTGTCGCAGCAAAATAAAAGAAAAATCCAGGGGTGCCTTAAAAGGCTAGCAGCATTGCTTTCTGGATGAGCTTTTGTGAGCCACAGTTCACTTCTTCAGATGCTATGAAAACGGAAGATGGCAAGCAGCTCTGAACCACGGGCTCACCCTGTTGGACAGCTTGTATTCTAAAGCCTTGAAGACCATGGCTTGGCATGACATCTTAACTGAACAGGAGAGTTTTAGTTAAAATTCGGTTTCCCCTTTAAAATCAAAAGAGCCCCAATGCAGTGGGAAGAAAAGTTTTATTTTATTCAGTTGTTATTGGCCAAGGGGCAGGACTTCTCCCTACACCATTGCTGTTCTGTTTTTTTGGGGGGAGGGGTGTTTTGTTTTTGCCCATGTCTTTGGCGTGGCCCTTTTCTCCTGTATGTTGCATCCCCTGTAAACGCCACAGGCTTTTCTGATTAAATCTTAATACATTTTTTTGGAGAAGTTCCTTTAAAGTTTAGAATCTACTGTGCTGATTACAGTTCTGCTGAACAGACCCCTTTATTTTAATTTTATTTTTCTTTGCCCGTGTTAATGAGAGACATCTTCAAGAGAGTGGTTACTTCTAGTCTTATTAGCAAGCAAGCAGAATTCTGGCACATATATGGAGATAAGAGCCAGAGTTCAGTAGCGCCCTAAAGACTAACAAAATTTGGAGGAGGGGGAATTCTGGCACATATATGGAGATTAGAGCCAGAGTTCAGTAGCGCCCTAAAGACTAACAAAATTTGGAGGAGGGGGAGGAGGAGACTGGATTTATACCCTGCCCTTCACTTGGAGTCTCAGAGTGGCTTACAAACTCCTTTCCCTTCCCCTCCCCACAACAGACACTCTGTGAAGTAGGCGGGACTGAGAGAGCTCTTTCAAGAAAAAGCTCTGAGAGAACTATGGCTTGCCTGAGGTCATCCAGCAGCTGCAAGTGGAGGACTGGGGAATCAAACCCGGTTCTCCCAGATTAGAGTCCGCACACTTAACCACTACACCAAACTGGCTCTTTTTGTGGCTGGGGATGAACTTTCATGAGTGACTCGTGAAAGCTCCCACCCTAAGGTGCTGCTGGACTCTGGCTCTTTTCTGCGGCTACGGACAGATGTAACACAGCGACCCATCTTGATCTGTATATGGGGATAGGACTCTTATCTCCGCTGTGAACATTTAGCTGCACTCTTGGGGTTGGAAAGTGGCGCAAAGAGCAGCTGGTGGGGGGGGGGGGGCAGGACCAAAGCAGAAAACCCAATTTGTTTGTAATAGATAAGCTTTAATTTTTTTCAAGTGCACACGACAGAAAGAGGGGCAACAAATCAGCCATCGGTAGCCTGACTCTAAAATCCTGTTTCATTTCTTTCCGTTAGAAAACGGTTGGTGAAGGCAGCGGTAAAAAGTCGAGTTCTGGAAGCTCCGGCAAAGGCGGAAACCAGTTACGTTGCCCCAAGTGCGGTGATCTATGCACACACGTGGAGACGTTTGTGTGTAAGTGGCAGCCAGATTATTGTTGTTGTTTTTTTTCGTTGTTGCTTTCTGGATGACACATTTCATGCCTAGTTTAAACATGCATATAGGTTCTAGAACAGGGGGAAGACTGCTTCCCTGAAAGGAGTGACCACCTACACACGGTCTCCTTCTTGTGGTATTGCGGTGCTTCCATGGGTCTGGAAATTGTCCCCAGACCTGCCAGATTATGGGATACCCCCCAACCAGTTCGGCACCACATGCAAGCAGTACAGAGCTTAATGGTGGGCAGGGAGCAAAGTGTCCTCCTAAAATGTTTGCTGTGTAAATTCTGCAGAAATCCATATTGCCACAGTCACGATTGATGTCTGTGCTAGTGACAAAAAGTACACGTGTTGGGCGGTAGTTTGTGATACACGGGAAGAACTGTTCTGCCAATTCCTCTTCCATGCTAATTTCAGAGGAATCTTGTTTGACTCGCTTCGTAGTGGCCGCTCCTCCCCTTCTGCATCAGGTTGGTGAACCTATCTGGCTAGGCATAATTGCTAGGAGATTGGTGGTTTCGTTGCCAGTTCTGCCTAGACACTCCCCCCCCCCCTGCAGCAGCTGAAATGGGTCTCTGCCCAGACGCCGGAAGGTGTTGCTTATTTCACTGAGCGGGAAAGGCGGGCAGAGTTTTGAGTGGCAGAAGAAGTAGCCTAATCGCTGCAGGCACTGACTCAGCACTCTTTCTTGCATCAGACGGCTTTCGACGAGCCGAGCCTGGAAGGCCTTTCGACAGTCAGGCTGTGACTTCCTTCTTGATAACTAACGTTGCATCATAGACGTCAGGGCGCCTCCCTATTGCAGTCAAGCAGGTTGGAAGAAGATTATTTCAGTCACTTGAAAGAGTCAGTCTGCAGCGGTATGAAGCTTGCTTGAGCCGGCGGGTTCTGGAAAAGGCTGAGAATTGTGTTCCAGTGTTGACTGCTGGTGGTGGAAAGGACCGTCAAGTCACAGCTGGGTTTTGGCGATCCTGTAGGGCTTTCAAGGCGAGAGACCGAACAGAGCTGATTTGCCGTTGCCTTTCTCTGCGTAGCATAGGGCTGCCAAATCCCCCAGGGGGGCATATTTCCCCCCCGCTTTGGCGGTCCGATTTCCACCCCCGCGGAATCGGCCCCCGGGGGAAACCCCACCCCCGCGTGCATGACGCTGGGCACACTGGGCACGCTATGTTTTCCACTCAAATGACTGTGCCCCGCCCCCAGCGTCATGACGTCACTTCCCTGTGACGTGCATGCTGCCGGGAGCCAGCACAAAGTCCCCCGCTGCAGAGGTAAGTCGATTTGGCAACCCTAACGTAGCAACCCTCGAGATCCTTGGTGGTCTCCCATCCGAGTACTGACCAGACCTGACCCTTGCTTAGCTTCTAAGATCTGACAACACCAGGTTGGCCTGGGCCATCCAGGTCAGGGCGTGACTGCTACCTCCATTCATTCGTCTTGCTTCTCACGTTTGCTT